ATTACCCAGAACGCAAGGGACCAGGTCATCAGGATTCAAAACACGATGGAAAGAAATCGCCAAGCCGCTGTAAACCTTCTGGAAACAGAAAGAAATCGGAACATAGTCAAACCGATGACCCAGGTCTATATTCAAGACATCCTTCTATTAGGGGTCATTACGATAAACCGCACAAACGTGCTGAGTGGTCGATTGATGTCCCAGGTAATGTTGGCCCTTGGAAAAGTGTTGATGTGTCCATCAAAGAGGACATCTCAACTAGGGGAAACTGTGACTTTATCAATGCCTCTGTATTCTTGAATGGTGTATCATACCTACAGGCAGATGTTTCAGTCTCTCAAGACTCTATCAGTTGGAGAATTACAGAAGCCATTGCAGATACTGCACTATTCACTATCAGTTTTAGCTGTGAAGTCTCCAATGGAAATAGATGGACCTCTCAAGCGGATATATCCATCGATACACCACATCATCGTATGTGGAGTAGAGATCTTCACCAATGGAGCTTAGAAAAAACTGTTACTGATGAAGATATTTCCCTCGAATGAGTTTCTTGATTGGACACTTGATGTAACGAGTTTTGTCTCCAGCAATTCAGGTAATGATGAACTTCGAACCCTTTATCAGAGAACATTGTTTTATTGTGGTCTGATTGTGACTTCTTGTCACATTTCTCTTCTTGTTTCCTTCTTCTGTCCCTATTTCCTGTATTTTTTTCTTCTTAACGGGAATCTCTTTCGACTTCTATATTGTTCCAGCTTAGGACTTCAAATGAAAATATCCCAAACTTTCTTGTTTTTTTATGAGTTTGATACAGGGTGTCTTTTTTCTGTCTGTTTATTCTTTTAATACTTGATCTTTTAACAATTAGTTATGATTGTATTTCAATTCAAACTTTTATACGAAGCAGTGCTATGACGGTGTTTCTGTTGAAATATTCACTCACCTGAGGTGGGTTCCGTTTGTATAATAGTAAATCTGGTTTAGCTATTTGGAGTTCGTTTTAATTTTGGAACTAACCTCATTATTTACTTCATTGAACCATATAACATGTCCTAAATTATCTAATGTAAATATTGCTTATATCAATCTAGATAATATGCAGTTAACAAAGTAATTATAGTAATTAAAAGAAATATAACCAGCAGTGTATGTTTTAAAAAAAATGATGAGTTCATTTTTCATCAGAAAATTTAGGATGCAAGAAATCACTTTATACTCTGGGAATTATTATATAAAGATATAATTATTATAATCAATTGTTGTAATACATATTGCAATATTTGATGTGATTCAGCTTGAATTAATGGATAAATTTAACAAAACATTAACCAAAAACAGTTTCAATGAAGTGAAGTGTGTGGAGAATTGTATTCCAAATTAACATCAGCTGTAGTGTGATCTGACAAATTATAAGGATGCTTGGTTTCAGCATGTTCCCACCATTGAGTGAAAATGGATCAAAAATCTCAATGCTTGAAGCTGTACTATAGCTCATAGAACAAGAATTACATAAAATGTAAAACATTTATTACCAAAAAAAAACGCATAGGTGCGTGATGTTTTGAAACTCTTCGCACCGTCCCAGTGTATTACATTGTATCGTTATTTACTCCCTTCCTCTTCAGTACGTAATTGAAGTAAATCATTGACCTTGTAATGTTGGTTTCAAATATGAAATACCACCATCTTGCTTCAGATTACTTTCCCCTATATCAAGTTTTTAAGTCTAGATTACTAAAAATAGCCACCTCCTAATTCCGAAGTTGGGCTGAAAGACTATCATGGACTCCATTGTTTCCAATCAATATATAGCTCAGTCTTGCGCCATGACTTTACGAGAATAGACCAATATTAGGGATATTTGTCCAAATCTCCCCTCTATGTCTCGAAAACGGTTTCGAAGTATAAAGTAATGACGGCTCTTGTCAATATTTGGAGATTCCCATGTACAACTTCAACAAGTTTGCATCCACAGATGTACTTAATGTATCCCCATGTACAGTGATGATGCACCATGCGTAATGTAGGCTCGGGTAAAGAAAAAACCATAAGAAATATGCAAGCGTATGTACTACTTGCCTAAAGTTGAACCACCTCGGGTTTTATTTAGATATTTATTGGACGGTTTTCAGTGATGACGATGTAATGATTTGCATTGTTTTGATTTCACAGTTATGAAACTTTTTTCTTAAAAAATGAAAAGATCAAAATGAAATAGCTTCAACTGTAATCAAGTTCCAGGATACATAGGCCCAATCTGATCCGAAGCTGTGACGGTCTTAGGAATTAGAAATGAAAGGCATATTTAGGAGGCTTGGCAATCAATGCAAAGGAGTGTCCGCAGTCGTAGGTTCTCTACTGTATATTGGTATCTAAGCGAGAGTCCACATGAATGCTGAATTTTCATTATGAACTAGTGCCATTCTCATTAATATAATACAAGCAAAGTAGCAACGAAAGAGTAATCAGGTCTTTGATGAAACAATATAAGCATGGTGAGAGAATGTTTCTCAGGGGTTAACTGTGCAATACATTCCTATCATATTTCTTGATGTTCTATCTTGAGGACTTGATTGAAACATTTACTATCCAACAATACAGAATGAGTGTTCAAAAGAATGAGAACAGATTAGACAATCACATGAACTTTTCAATGTATCATTAGCCCTATAGTTACTGTTGCATACAGCTCGACCTGTAGTTCATTTGAGCCAAAAACACATTTATGAAGAATCGAAATTAATTTAGTAATGACTAGATTCATCGATTGGTTGATAGTTTAAGTTTAATGGATATATCGCGGGTCTCCATGAAGGTGTTATTAGGGCTCTTAAAGTGTGATCCAATTTTTTCAAAACAGGCTATTTACAATGATATGTAAAGTAG